AATGATGTTGTTGGGTTTTTTCTCTTTCGTTTCTTGTTGACAACCATATATTCAATTGAAACTATGTAGAGTTCGTCCTTGAGTGTCAACAAAAAAAAACAGCAGACATTGAATGAATAAATAGAAAACGTCATAACTATTCAAACAACAATCTATTCTTTACAATACACAATTACTAACCAAGGAGCAAACATGGCATCAAAAATGACTCGATATCAAAGGCACCGTATGGCTGAAAATTATTTGGTCATCTGGGTCGATGGAAATATCGACATGGCAAATCAAGATTGCCAAAATACAATGGAACAATTACGTGCTGTCGTTAACCAAGTCAAGCCATGTGAGACAGCTGAACAATGTATACAACAGCTCACAGAAAATCAAGAGGATATCTCAATTGTTATCTATTCCGATGCACTTGGACAACATTTGGTACCAGACATTCATGATATGGCAAAATTAAATGCCATTTTTATATTTTGTAGCAATAAACAACGGCATCAAGTATGGGCCCAAAATTGGACAAAACTCAAAGGTGTTCACACGTCCATCAAACATATTTGTGAACAATTGGCAACGTCTATCAAACAATGCAATCAAGATCATATGTCGGTGAGCATTGTTAGTGTGAATGCAGGAGGTTCTAGCAAGAATCTAGATCAGCTAGAACCTTCTTTTATGTATTCGCAAATATTCAAGGAAATACTCCTTGAAATCGAACATCAACAAGCCGTCCAACATTTGGTCACGTACTGTCAACAAGAATACCAAGGCAATAAGAAGGAAATGAAAATTATACAAGAATTTCAACGTACTTATCAAGCATCCAACGCCATTTGGTGGTATACACGCCAATGTTTTACCTACAAAATGCTTAATGGCGCGTTAAGAACACTTAATGGCGATATAATGATCCGAATGGGATTCTTTCTATGTGATGTACATTGTCAAATCGAAACCTTGTACAAGAATCAGGTCAGTCAATACCATAACAAGATTCTTACAGTCTTTCGAGGGCAAGGCCTATCGAAAGCAGATTTTGAAAAGCTCACAGAAAACAAAGGTGGGCTAATTGCTTTTAACAACTTTTTATCAACCAGTACAGATCGTGATGTTTCTCTCCTTTTCGCCGAAAGTAACCTAGCAGCAACCGATACAGTGGGTATTTTTTTTAAAATCACGAGTGATCTAACGGTCTCATCGACTCCATTCGCCTCCATTCGGGAGGTAAGTTATTTCAAGGAAGAAGAGGAAATTCTCTTCTCCATGCACACCGTCTTTCGCATTGGTGAAGTGCGCAAACTTGACACCAACCGT